GCCCGTGAGCCATGGCCGCTGAGCCTGCGCGTCCGGAGCCTGTGCTCCGCAACGGGAGAGGCCGCAACAGTGAGAGGCCCGCGTACCGCAAAAAAAAAAAAAAAAAAAAAGTTTTGAAACTAGAGAGAGGTAGCGCACAATGTTGCACAGTGTTGTGTAGGCATTAAATGTCTCTGAATCCTACACTTTAAAATGGTTAATTCATGGGACTTCCCTGGTGGTCCAGTGGTTAAGACTCCACGCTTCCACCGCAGGGGCCACGGGTTCCATCCCTGGTTGGGGAACTAAGATCCTGCATTCCACGTGGTGTGGCCAAAAATTAAAAAATAAAAATAAATAAAATAGTTAATTCATGTTATGTGAATTTCACCTCAAAAGAAAAAAAAAAGACAGAAAGAACTGAATGTAACTGTCTGCTCATTAAAAAGTGCTCCAGATGTGATCAGAAATTATATCAGTTAACGGGATAACTCTGAATTATATGTTTTAAAATGGTTAGTTGTATACTATATTGATTTCACTTCATTTGAAATAAAAAAAAAACCAGTAAAAAAAGAAAGGGGGGCAGGGGGTTGTTCAGAGAGAGCTTCTTAGAGGCACTGTCCCAAACTGGGCCTTGAAGGGCTAGAAACCCAAGGTTTCTAGCTGAGCAAAGAGTGAGGGGCCTGGGTGTCTCAGATGAGGGACAGTCCGAGCGATGGCTGAGCAAGTCTGGTGAGGCGTCCAGGGAGAGAGGACCAGGCAGGTGGCAGGTGGGAGGGGCCTGCCGGGGTCCCTGAGTGGCTGGCCGGGGAGTCACCCAGAGGTACCACAGCAGGGCTTGATGGTGAAATCAGGCAGACTCCCTCTGGCCCAACCTGACTCTAGTTTCATTCAGACAGCCCCTTATCAGCACTGATCACAGCATACGCCATAATGTATGTTTAGTGTGCAGTTACTACCCACACTCAGATCAAGTGACTCATGGCCCAAAGACAGTCAAGGCCCATTTCTTATTGCCGGCAAGGGAAGTCAGGTATGTCCTGCTCACACAGGACAGGGTCCTGGCAAACCGGCTGCTCGCCTTCCAGGTCTGGAGTCTCCCCACGGCCCCAACTGCTGTGCTTTCTCTTTGGTTCCCGCCAAGCCTCGTGTCCACCCACAAACCCGTACACCCATTCTTGCTTCTCTCCAGCCCTCTCACGGCACCCGGAAACCTCATCAGGAGGGGAGTACTGCACCTGCAAACCTCTCTCAGCCAGGATCCGCAGCCCCTCACATATCACCTTTAAAGCCACCAGCGTTTTATCGTCTGACTCAATAAATAACAACAGCGACCGCTACTGCTACCGTTTCTGTCCAACTTGCAGCGTGTCAGGCTCTGTGTCTGAGCTCGAGCTCCTGGGTATTTTTACCTCCATTTCACAGAGGAGGGCAAGATACAGGAAACCTGATTTTCAAAATATTTAACCACCAGTATGGCATGAGTACTGACCACTCAGACTAACGGCCAAAAGGGTGCAAACTTGCTGAAAATCAACGAGCTCTGCAGGACACTCTCCAAAATAGTAGAGGATGAAGCATAACAGTGTGTGATGCAGATGATTAATTCAGGAGATCAGGAAGAGGAAGTTTCTGTGGAGGCAAGAGGGCAAGGCAGGAGGAGGGGGGTGGAGGTAGGGCTGTGCCCAGAACAGGGAGCTCACCTGTGGACTGGTGAGGAGTGCAGTGGCAGTGGATGCTGCAAACAGAGTAGGGATATATCATAGAAGGTCTTAAGTGAAAACAAAGGAGTGTAGATGGGGAGAATGTGTGAACAACAAGTGACTGAAGGAGGCCCTGGAGGCAGACACGCTCTGGGCTCCAGCCCCTGAGTTCCTGCCTCCCGCAGATGCAAGAGTGAAGCAAACCGAACAGGGATAAGTTTCCCCTGCACAGGAGTACAGGGGCTTACAGAAAAGTCCAGAAACTGGTGCTCCGTCATAGGGCCAGGACGAGGGTGAAAGAAATGAGACATACCCTCTCAGGTGCAACATTTAAGGGAGGGCCAAAAAACTCAGTCATGATATTTTTATTGCATAATATTTTAATGCAGTATTTTAAAATAACAAAAATTAATGCAAAAACCTATGATGAACAAAATATCACACATGAAGAAACAAAACAATGACAGGATAAAACCCTATACTTGCTCAACATAACCTTACTGGCTTCACCCCAGTCCTGGCCATAATGAAACACAGCTTCTGGACTTTTCTGCAAGCCTTCACACTTTCTTGGATGTGAATACAGCATCTTCAGGGCTTAAAACAAAACCAGTGGTGGTTCCCATGTTCCCTGACTTCTTAGGGGACAAACAACGCCTTCTCATGCAGTTGGAGGACATTGTCAGGCTGACTTCTCTGACTCAGGGCAAGGGAAATAATCAAGATAGCTAAACAGGATGTCTCCTCATCAACAATGGAGCTAGCAAGAGGTCCAACTTCATATTACGATCCAACCGAAGTTGCTCTTTGATGCAGACTCATACACCTCATGCATTCGTTACCTTTCCCACTCTACAAACTCTCTGATCACTCATCTCTATATCCACTGATACATCCTTCCACCCATCCCCATCTATCCATCCAATCCATCCATCTACCCATCCATCCGTCAGTGAGGCTTCTTCTGACCCTGCCTCCATTTATTTTTTTTAAATTATTATGTTTTTTTTTTCTGCGGTACGCGGGCCTCTCCCTGTTGTGGCCTCTCCCATTGCGGAGCACAGGCTCCGGACACGCAGGTCCAGCAGCCACGGCTCACGGGCCCAGCCGCTCCGCGGCATGTGGGATCCTCCCGGACCGGGGCGCGAACCCGCGTCCCCTGCACCGGCAGGCGGACTCTCAACCACTGCGCCACCAGGGAAGCCCCCACCCATCCATCCCATTCATCCATCCATCCATCCATCCTTCCTTCTTTCCAACCAAGCATCCATTTTGTCTTTCAACCATAAAGCCATTTTCCCATATATCCATCCATCCCTACTTCCATCCATTCATCCACTTATGCATCTTACAGACCGTCATCCACCCAAACCACTTAACCAGACCTCTGCTTACCTACTATGTAAAGTCAGCATGTGGGTGTGAAAAGAGCTCCATCACCTACCAGCAGACCTACTTAACTTCTCCAAATCTAATTTCTTTATCAAGAACGTGGCTGTGTGCATTCTCAAAGAACCTTCACAGGGCTGTTATGAGCATTAAAGAACAAAATCCCTGTAAATGGTAGTTATTGTAAATATTACATTATTACGGCAATTATTATTATTATTACAAGATGCTAGAGGTAGAGGGCAGAAATA